TTCCTCCATAGTTTCTAAGAATCCCTATGGTAAGCAGAATTCTAAAATGACCACTTATGACCCTCATTCTTCTATACTCTCCTCCACTTGAGTGTGGGCAGAGCCTATAAATATGATGAGCTATAATTTCTGTGATTTTGTTATGGTATAGGGAAAAACTGTATATTTCAGAGATAATTAGGGTCCCAAATCAGGTGACGTCAAGAGGGAAATTATCTATGTGATTAGTTCTGACCTTATCAAATGAGACCTTTAAATCTGGTTCTAGAAATCAGACAGGAAGTCAGAGATCCGAACCATGAGAAGGATTCACATGCTGTTCTTGGCTTGAAAGGGAGCACATACCAGGGAATGCAAGGGCTTCCAGGAGGTGACAGTTACCCCCAGCTGACAGCCAGCAAGGAGACAAGGTGCTCGAGTCCTTCAACTGTAAGAAACTAAATTCTGCCGACAATAATGAGCTTGGAAGCAGATTTCTACCCAGGGTTTTCAGATGAGAACTTGGTCCATTCAACACCTTGATTTCAGCTAATAAAATACCCTAAGCAGAGAGAACCCAGCCATGGGATACTGGACTTCCTCTTTTCTTTTTTTCTTCTTCTTCTTCTTTTTTTTTTCATTGTGCTTTGTATGCAGATTTACAAAGCAAATTTGTTTTACATTCAACAGTTCATGCACATTTGATTTCATGGTCCAATTACAATCCCCACCCATAAAAAACTCTCCTCCCCTCTCTTCCCTGTGCCCTTCTTATCTATGAATTCCTGTCTGTCCAGCTTTCTTTCTATTGAATGCTGCCCCTCTGATGTCTCATGGCTGATTGATCTAAGGGGTACATCTCCCTGGAGTATGTGTTCTGCATATAGGTCTCTCTACTGTTGGGCTGAAAACAAATCCATGGAAGTGAGTCCATTTCTAGGCTGAAAGGATGCTGGACTTCTGACCTACAGACCTTAAGAGTTTATTAGCTCAAAAGTGTGGCCATAGAGTTTGTGACAATTTCTAGTGTAGCAATAAAAAATGAATATAGTTCTTACAGAAATGATGACAATCAATTGCAATCCCAAGAATCAGATAATGGGGATTAAGAGTGTTGCAAAAACAATACTAGGTTATGTTTTGGAGATCAAATTTTGCTTTCAGGTAATACCTGTGTTGGATAGCAGTCCTACCACCTAGCTGTGAGACAC